TGTTTATGGGCGTAAACATTTTACATACGGGTAGTTTTTGTGTCGACAGATTGACCTCTATCTGTCAGAATCAGGCGTTTGCCGTTCAACTGTCTGCAGCTATAACTTTGTAAACAAAATACATACGCACCGCGTGGGTGTAACCGTATTACTAATTTTCGATTCTTAAAAACTTCGTAAATCTTGATAAAGAGCATTATCTTTTGTATGGTTATCAAGATGATTCCGATTATTATTTTTTGAATGATTTTAAAGTTCAACTGACAAGAAAGGTTGACATTCTTTCAAGAACTATTTTGTCTAGCGATTGGTTATCATTGGTATGCAAAAAGTCCAAAACCATAAGAAAACGGATCTATTTATATTCTGATTTTTTTACGGATTGTAAAGACATGCACATAAAAGCGAAAGCTCGTATAGATATGAAAAATATACCAAATGGATAGCTCAAAATACCATTTAATAACAATAAACATTTGGACAGGTTAAGAATGTAATTCTGTATAGTACATAAGTATGTAAAATACGGAACCGAGTACGGAAAGCGGCTTGGAAGCGGTAAATGACTTCTGGTCAGCGGTATAGGAAAATTGACTGCGTCATTTTCCAACAATGTCACTAAGACACTTGTAACTTATCTCTTAAATAAGGTCTATGTGGGGTATAAGAGCTTGCTTACTGCAGGCTATTCATCATCATTTTGTTAAATAATTCTACAATGAAGGGGATAGTCTGTTAATGTATTCTTGACTAAGAATAATGATATTGCAAGAAACAAATTCACACATATATATATATATATATTGACAAACAAATAAAAAAAGCCATAGACATTGAAAACAATTCATATCTATTCTGTTGTCAGTCAGCCTACATACCACGAGCTGAAAAGTCTCATAAGATTCAGTAGGTAAATTATGTGAAAATCAAGACTTGCATCAAAAATATCCCAATATTAGAGACAATGGCGTCATTTTTCCTCAGAGCTTTCAGCTCTTTGATTTTATATATCCTTGGCTTTCAAATATACGGTTTTGAGCGTTCCTATATTAAAACAACATGTTATAAATTTCATTCATCCGAAGCGCTTTTCTAGATTTACCTTCATCAGGAACGCTGAAAGCCTACTATTTGAAAGCCAAGGATGATAATGTTTAAGAAAGCTAATGAAGGTAAATCCAGAAAAGTGCTTTGGAAACAGTTTTGTAACGTGTTTTCATTTTTTTCAAAGCGATGTTAACGCGATTTGATTAAGAGCAATTTTCCTTTGCCACAATTTAAGAAGTCAACGTGCACAAAAAACTTTATAAATCAAACAAAATCAACTTGTCCACATATACTGCTCGAATTGTCGTAGATATTTTTTTTAATTTCAGCGATACGATTTAGTAAGGATTTTAAAACAATAAGCCACAATAAAAATAAATCGAGCTGTTTGGCGGCTAAGAAAAATGCCTCCAACTCCCATAACGTCATATTGAAAACATCATTTCAGAAAGCCTTCTACCAAGGGCGCTACATAGTTTATAAAATTGAAATCATCTCCGAAAATTTCATGGTCACCGTTCTGCAATATCTATATCACAGATATCTTCTATTTGCCGCAGCCATTATCCTATCTTTTTCTCAATTATGACATCACCGAATGCAAATCATCGCCAGTTTGTACTTGTCACCATCAATATGATGTATTCAACCTGCAGAACACTGACTGCTTACTCTTCCGGACCAGATGAATGCATTAACGGTTTTAATGGGGTTAGAAAAATTCGATTTTGTCATCAGCAAAATAAAACAACTAAATTTGTATTCTTTTCAAACGGTTTTGTTTGGGATGTATAAATACACATCCACGTTCATCTTCTATATAGAGATTACTTTATCTATATATAACATTATACACATTTATTAAAAGGTTAACTCCTAACTGTCCTACTGCCTGTCGAAACTTTTATTTTGGCATTGCACAAGTCATGTCTTCTTTGACTGTCCATGACGTTAAAACACTAAATCCCTGGGATGTGTTTTAGTTGATGTTAGTCTCTGATGCATGATTTTTTATTATTAATTGTTTTTGGCTCTTAACTAGCTTTCAGTTACTGCGAGTACTCTCAAATCGTACTTTCTTTTTAGTTTGACCTGCTGATACAATTTATAATGCATTTTTGTTATTTGATGTTTACTTATTTTGTGTTATATCACTTGTCACTATTTTTAATATATACACCTGTATGACGATAAATTTTCACTTCTGTCCTCGTACTTTGAAAAACTAAATTATTCATTTTGTAATGATATTTCCGTACTCCATGTATACCTTACAACAATTTAGTTTTATTTCCCTGTGTACCTCATCTTATTTGGCGGTATTTTGTCCAGGGTTATGGTTGTCTTTCTGATATTGTTTTACGTCTCACCCCCCCCCCCTCTTTTTCAATTAATTTTGTATTTACATTGTGTCATAGATTAAATGTACACGTTCATTGTAGGATAATATGTTTTGTTAATATGTCTTTTGATTGAGTTAAGCCATTTCAGTTGATATTTTATAGTGTGTCTTTTTATGATGTGATGTTACACTATTGTGTCAGGTTAGGGTGAAGGTTGACGCCTGTTAAACGTTAAAACCCGCTGCATTTTTTTTGCACCCGTCCTAAGTGAGGAACCTGTTGTTCAGTGGTTGTCGTATGTTGATGTGGTTCATAAGTGTTTCTTGTTTCTCGTTTTTTATATAGATTAGACAGTTGGTTTTCCTGTTTGAATGGTTTAACACTAGTCATTTCTGGCCCTTTATAGCTTGCTGTTCGGTTTGAGCCAAGGCTCCGTGTTGAAGGCTGTACTTTGACCTATAATGGTTTACTTTTACAAATTGTGACTTGGATGGAGAGATTTCTCATCGGCACTCATACCACATCTTCTTATATCTATTTAGAGTTGTGCTACTCGATCCTTTCTCTTTATGGTCTATCTACGGTAGTATGTGTCTTTATATTTTGCTGGTTTGTGAGCCCGTACCAGATAACAGCTTTGATTCAAGTTAGTTTGCCTTGAAGTGGTCACATCAACTTGAGCACATGTTCACTGTTTTGTAAACTTTATACGATCACAAAAAATTTTGTCTTTGACCATAGTCTTGCCTGACTTTACTTTGACATGGTTTTTATTTCCTCCTTGTTGTCATATCCTTTATTTCGTAAGAGGAATGCTGACTTTTTTAAGTTTTTCTCGATAGAAGTGTGAATCTGAACACCATACACTACTCCTGTTAATCTTTTTTGCTATATAAACATCATATTCCAAATAACACTTAATCGGTGAGGTGAAAAACAAGATTATATCAGTCTGAACGAAATATATTTTCTATTTTAAGAAAAAAATTTAAAACACGGTATAAATATTTAGGACATTTAACACCATTCAATTTAATTGGGGAAGTAAACATATTTACCTACATCTATTGTTTTATTCCTTGTAATGTACATCTGTCCTTTACCTTGAAGTTTAACCGAAAAAGAGGATGACTGAATATTAAATTTACTTGATTTTAGCAAGACATGTATATATTTGTCTTTTTAATGTCGTTTGAAATGTTCACATTTGTAAATATTTATCGTCTACTTTTAAAGCTCCGGGAGGATATTGAAATTTGATTTGGCAATGATGTATGAAAAAGAAGTATGCAAACTCTATGATACCAAGTGGAAATTGAATGCACCTCTTTTGCACCAGAATTGATACCGCTTATGTTATTACTATACCTTGGTCGATACGGCGACTGATGAATTATTAGTCCTCAAGGGTTTTACCCACCAAGTATTCTGTACTTCGATACTGGCATTAAGATATGGATATTGTTCTATTGAAAGGTTATTTATCAATAAAGAGACTTTATAAAGGAAGCGAAAGATACCGATTGGATATTCATATATGAAAGACACACTAACAATGCCAATCCAAAAACCGTCGAAATCCGCGTCTGGTGCAGTAAATTTGGTTCCACTAATGTTATGAAATAGTTGTGATTAATGTACTTAAAAAAATATCCCAGTACTCCACAAGATACATAAGATTTAAATGTTATTGAGCCCTGAACATTGACGAAAACAACTTAATTAGATATTGCAAATTTCTCATTTTTAGAAATAATCATATTCTACTCAAAAACTTTTCTTTGAGGACACTCGGAACATGAATGTCAGAATTTGTATTTGAAAAGCAACATGCGCGATAAAAAAAAAGAGCGCTGGAATTCTAAACAACGGAAGTATAGCATATTTAAGGGTAGGAAACACGCTCAAGAAAGAAAAAAAAAGATAACAGTATAAGAATAAGAAACTATGTCCATGAAAAGAAGGGCATACAATCGACAATACACAACGCTCTGATATTTAGATCTCTCCATTACAACCAGTGTAGAAATCGCCGGATTTTTTTAACAGAAAATAGTTGCAATGAGATGTAACAGTAGTTTACCGGTGTTCACAACACGAAAAAATATTTGGAATATGTAAACAGATAAAAAAAATCGTAGAGAATCGTATGAACTCAAAACAGAGCGAGACATGGTTCTTCGACTAAGAGTGTCCTGTATCAGGCATCATACGAATTCAGACTTATATGCTAAATATGCTACAAAAAGGGATGTTTTTCTTTAGGTATCAGAAAATTTGTGAAAATAAATAATATATCGCGAATTGCATAATGATTATGATAAAAGCCGGCACATATTGACGTATATCTCACATCACCTTTTTCATTTATCTGCCAAATTGTAAGAGAAATCTATATATAACCATTTTTCCACGAAGGAATACAAGTATTAGAAAATACGTTGAAAATAATAAAAGAGTGTTTATACCTAGCATCACGTTTTTCATATATCTGTCAAATTGTAAAAAGAATCTATATATAACCTTTTTGCCATGAAGGAATAGATTTCTTAGAACAGTTTTGTTTAAATGCGTATATAATCAAACCTGTCAATAAATCTGCATTATTTAGATCGTAGCGAGGAAGGATCTGACAGGTATGATTTTTTTCTTTGTTTTTATGTAATTTACAAAGTTTACAAATGTAAATTAAGGCACTATATTATTGTGACATAATGCCCTCTAGATGCGTTTTGCTTTTATAAGTTAGGATTCATATCTTTGAAACGTATATACCCTACCTATCATATTCATATTAAGAAGGGTGTTTTCGCTATTAATAATACAGTGACTGATCGATTGAAACAAAAGTAAATTACTGCTTGAAAAAAACCGAAATACAACCCCTTTTTATCGTATTTTTGTTAATATGTTTTATGTTTTATGTTTGTTTTGTTTTTCATCCTACATCACTGAGACATAATAAATCTTTCTTGCATGTGATGTGGCTCTGTACTTATACATCCCGTCATTGTTTGTTTATATATCTGTTTGTTTTAATAGTGAATAGGATAATAACACAACTTTGACTGCTGTACCCCTATTTTTATAAAAAAAAATTGCGGTCGTATATTGGTATCACGTCGTCGTCGTCGTCGGCGTCAGCGTCGTCCGAAGACATTTGGTTTCTGGACAATAACTTTAGTTTAAGTGTATGGATCTCTATGAAATTTAACCAAAAGGTTCAATACCACAAAAGGAAGGTTGGGATTGGTTTTGGGGTTGTTGGTCCCAACCGTTTAGGAATTAGGGGCCAAAACAAGCATTTTTCTAGTTTCAGGACAATAACTTGTGTATAAGTATTTTGATTGCTCTGAAATTGTACCACAAGGTTCAATATCACTAGTAGAAGGTTGGGATTCATTTTGGGGGTAATTGCTCAAACCGTTCAGGAATTAGTGGCCAAAAAGGGTCTTAAACAAGCATTTTTCTAGTTTTCAGACAATAACTTGTGTATAAGTGTATTGATGTCTCATAATTTGTACCACATTTTACAAAAAGAAAATTTCTTCAAAATTAATTTTTTTGGAAGGGGGTAAAAAAAAATTTTTTTTCCTTAAAAGAAAATTATCTTCAAATTTTTTTTTTTTTGGAGGGGGGTAGAACAAATTTTTTTTTTGGGGGGGGGGTAAAAAAATTTTTTCGGGGGGGGGGTCAATTTTTTTTCCTCAAGCTTGAAGAAATTGTCAATTTTCCAAAGAAAAAAATTGCGGGTCACAATTTATTTTGCTAATTCTTTGTATATAGTCGGAAAACAGATTTACTAAGTATTGCGCAACAGCACAGTGTATTGCACAACATCACGAAATCTTCAATTGAATATAAATTCAAATCATACAACCAATTTCAAGTTCTTTGACACGTTTATTCTGTGTCAGAAACCTATAATGTGTCAAATATTCAATTACAATCCAAATTCAGACCTGTATGCAGCTTGAATATTGTTTGATCATTTTTGCCCAACTGTTCAGGATTGGCCCTCTGCGGTCGTATCCAGCTGCGCTCGGCGAAGCAGTTTATTGATATTTTTACCGATTATGTCAATATAATGGAATTTTATACGACTGTCATACAAGTGAGAGGTTTAGCTAGCTATAAAACCAGGATTAATCCACCATTTCCTACATGGGAAAATCCCTGTCAGGAATATGACAGTTGTTGTCCATTCGTTTGATGTGTTTGAGCTTTCGATTTTGCCATCTAATTAGTGACTTTCCGTTTTGAATTTTTCTCGGAGTTCAGTATTTTTGTGATTTTACTTTTTGCTATTTTGTTTACGGTAACAGCGTTTACGTCGATGACATTAGAAAATTTTGAATAAAATCGGATGACATGAAGACGACGTATAAAGAATTGTGCTTTGCCGTTAAACACTAGAATGAAACGCAAAACTAGTCAACTGTACAATATAATTTATATGTTTAGCTTTTCATTCTTTTAAATCATTTAATAAATAGTTTGTGATACATGATATTCTCTCATTTTTCTCACAAAGTCACAATAGCTACGTAAATGATAAAGAAATTAAGATGACTCTTCCAAACCGATTCATTCTACATACATACAAAAGAACCCATTTTCTAACAAACAACTTGACTTTTTCATCGACATGTAAAACATTGAAAAAAAGTAAAAAATCACAAAAATACTGAACTCCGAGGAAAATTCAAAACGGAAAGTTCGTAATCAAATGGCAAAATCAAATTATAAAACACATCAAACGAATGGACAACAACTGTCATATTCCTGACAAAGATAGTTTATGTAATCCATCACACTTCAGTGTGACCACCATCGCATTTTACGCACTTCGGTGTAGCTGTAAACAAGATAGCGTCACATTGCCACCATCACACTACAGCGTGATAAAAAAACGCACTTCAGCTTCAAACCATCACACTTCAGCGTGACCAACGCGGTTCAAAGTCCAACATACATTGTGTAAAACAATAAGAAAATCAGGTGCATGCAAGAATATAAAACACCTTCACAATTCTTATGGAATATCGGTATGTTCCCAATATCGTAACTACAATTTCGTCTTCTTTTCCCAAATTTGACCTTCGGAATAAGACTTATTACCGGGTTTGTATTAAGACGAGCAACACGACGGGTGCCACATGTGGAGCAGAATTTGCTTACCCTTCCGGAGCACCTTTTGGTAGGGTTCTTATTGATCAGTCTTTAGTTTCCTTCCTATGTTGTGTTTTATATATTATTGTTTGTCTGTTTGTCTTTGTCTGTTTTAGCCATGGCGGTTCTACCCTCTGGTATCTTTCGCCATTCTATTTTCACACTCCCCCCGGAGTACATGAGGCCCTCTCTGGTTTTGGGGTTGTTCGTGATGCTCAATCCTAAATTTTGTTTTTGTGCAATTATTTTTCAGTTTGTTGTTTGTGTACAATTCTACACTTGTATGTAGAAATGATTATCATGGAATTTGATATCAGATTATAAATTATTCTGCAGAAAGATAAAAATTAATTAGCTTTTTCTTATCTTTAGTTTTAGAAAGATAATATACTTCATATAAAGACTAAAAATAAAATCGTTTAATGGAGATTTACAAAGTATTAGGTACATTAAGCCAGCTTGTGTTCCGACTTTTAAGTTCAACGAATAGGATGAAACCAAATCAAGGTAACTAAAAAAACTGACGGATTTGCATGCACTCCAAAAAAGAGCGAGAAATAGTGCGTCGAAAAGGTAAGTAAGATCCGCCATGCGAATCTACACTTATTCCTCACAATCAGTATAATAATTGATCACACTATTATGCATATCTTCATTCTCTACCATGCCGCTTCTTAGAGAGTCATATAGTGAACAATCATAGCATTACCTGATCTCAGATTAAGTCTTTTTGCAAACATTTGGAGGTCACTTCTATTTATTGGTTACCTTTACATAACAAAGTAAAATATCGTCTTATCTCGGCTTGTAGTAAATGTTTAACAAATTATTGTTCATTCAGTGCTTTGAACCAATCCTTTACTACTATCAAATAACTTATCATTAACATTTTAAATAAAGAATATGCAAATAGTTAAATTAACTACTTTTTTCTAGTGTAAATAATTCTTTGGATGTTTAGATGAATTACGTACTTTTGATGTTACTTTTGGTTCTGTTGACAGTTTTGACTATTTAAGTATCTACAATGCACTTCTACACAATCTTATCAAACAAGTTTCCTATTTAATTAAACGTTCGTTTAAAAATTAAGATTGCAAATTTATTTGCCGCAACTCATATGAAGCCTTCTTGTGTAATAAAAAAAGGTTAATATGCTAGATATACTTACTGTTCTCTCCCTAATAATTCAAAATTTGGTGACTATGTTGAACGCATCTATCCCATCGAACTCTAGATAAATCATACAACAGATACAGTTAAGTCTGCCTCAGTTCTTGACTTACATATAGAAATTGACAATGAGGTTCGGTTGAAAACAAAAAAAAAAATATGAAAAAAGAGATGATTTCAGCTACCCAATGAACTTTCCATTTTTAAGTAGTAACATTCCAGCAGCGCCTGCATACGGAGTATATATCTCCCAGTTGATACGATACTCCAGGGCTTGTGTTTCCTATCATGATTTCCTTGATAGAGGGTTGCCGCTCACAAAGAAACTATAAAACCAAGAGTTCCAAGTGGTGAAGTTGAAATCATCCCTTCGTAAATTTTACGGACGCCATCACACGTTGATGAACCGTTATGGAATATCCGTTTCACAGATGATAGCGGATATGCAACTTATATCGTTACTACAATCCCGTCCCTTTTTTTCGAATCTGACCTACGGAATTAGACTTATTACCGGGAATGTACTTAAACGAGAAACATGACGGGTGCCACATGTGGAGCAGGATCTGCTTACCCATCCGAAGCACATGAGATCACCCCCAGGTTGTAGGTGGGGATTGTTTCGATCAGTCTTTTATTTTCTATGTTGTGTTTTGTGTACTATCGTTTGTCTGTTGGTCTGTTTCCTTTTTAGCCATGGCGTTGTCAGTTTATTTTTGACTGCATGTCCCTTTGGTATCTTTTGCCTCTCTTTTACTGGTGATGTGATGAGATAAGTAACGCTTTAAGTTCCTCCTTGAGAACATGTATGTACCGTTTGGCAATAAAGTTCATCGACAGGTTGTAGATATTCCTATGGGCTCCAATTGGGTTCATTTAATAGCAGAATTGTTCTGTACAGTTTTGAAAACTGGTGTTATCTTTTAATCTGTTTGTATCGTAAGCATTACAACTGTGATACCTGGAGAGAATCACATCCCTTCGGCAGTAAAAAAGGTTATCCTTGTCAATTAAAATCGGAGTCGAACGCACCTCGTCACGAGGGGGGTTTGAATTCACAATCTCAGAGTTTACAGGCTTTTGGTCACTGTAGAACTACTTGTAACACTCGGACTCCGAGATCCCTAAATTAGTTGAAGGTAATTTAATATTATATCCAGCGTAAAAAATCTAACAATTAAGTATACATCCTTGTTTAAACAAAATCTTATTGACCTTTACAAAACAGTGAGAAGATGAGAAAATACCAATGGTAAACCCAAAACAAGATGTCCGAGAACAGTGAACAACACCTAAAGACTAAAGAAAAAACGACGAAAAGATAATCAAGATTTAAAAAAAAATACTAAAGAGAAAATTAATATTAAGTAACACGAACCCTCATTGAAATTAGAACTTGATTGTAGCTACGACAATTGGAATATACCCTTGCTATCTCTGACACAGACATTGCATAACGGTCGACCAAATCATAATTTTTTTTAACATTTTGAAACTGTCAAAAAAGAGATTCCTATTTATCAAAATTTTAATGTGATCTGTGTTTTGGCAATAATGTTTTTTAGCTGATACACTCTGCGCGAACTATTTCACAAACAGAGACCCACTCTTAAATTGAAAAGAAATCAAGCACGGTTGTAAGGATAAACGACTAAAACTATATTATCGCCTAACGTCGTGCGCGTCATACACTTTATCCACTAATCTAAAAAATGGACTTCCATATTTTGGTTTTCTGACATTCTTGTTTTAGATGAAAGTCGACAATCGCCTCTTTTATGTTACTTGTGTATTTTCAGTAAACAGTGTGTGTGACGGTCGTTATTACATTTTGATTAAACTTTACAGTATCTTAGTATCTAAACTTATTACATTTTTACGTTGTCAGAGATCAAGTATATTCTTTTTGTCATGCTTCTGAATTTAACATACTATTCCGCACTGGACGAAACCTACAAAAGGGGGAAAAATGTAATCAGAGGGCTAATAAAACCATTAGTTCAAGAGAACATCCGTGACCAATAGACAAAAAATTAACACCGATTCAAAAATCACTTCTAGAAAACTAAAGATTAAATAACACGAAGTCGTTCAAGGAGGTGAACTCATGGGCTCACAAAAAGAAACCGTTGCGGTTTCGTTAGCGGAACCCATTGTGATGCTCATGACATGTCAAGTGAGAATCGTAGCATTCGACGATGTTAAGTATTAAATGACACGGAATGAAGGCCTCTTCTGAACATTTGAAGATCCCTACTATTTATTGGTGACCTAAACTACACAAAACCAGTAAAAATGTTTCATCTCGGCCTCCAGTTAGCGTTCTACAGCTAATCTTTCATTGCTTTTAACTAGCTCCCTAACTTCTATCAAATAACTTATCATTAAGTTTTGTAATAAGATATTTGAAAAAAAGCGGAATTTACTTTTTTTATTGTGAAAAAAACTTTGGATGTTTTTAGATGATTAACATGCTTGTGATAGTCCGTATGATTCAGTAGACAGTTTTTACTTTTCAACTCGTTACACTACACTTCCACACAATTTTATCAAAAAAACGTTTTCATATTTACTTAAATTGTCGGTTGGTAAATCTGAATGCAAATATATTTGCTGCAACTCATTCAAAACCTTCTTCTCTAATGAGAAAGGTAAATATGTTGAAAAAAGACCCAGGAAATTTAGATACGATCCAGGTAAACATAATGGCCTTATATTTTTTTAGTAAGGGGTTTTTTGCATGTGAGAGAGCTGTCTACTTATTCCATTATCATGATTATTGTACTATTTCTTTTAGTGTATTTTTATCCTGCCCCCTTCTATGGTTTACTAAGAGTTCTTATATCTTCCTGTATTTGCCTTTTAATAGGTCCGGGACACAGTTATCGTCCTTCTGTCGTTGTCTTTTCGTTGTCAACGAATATAGTCCCTAATACGGACAGTGTTTTACGTTTTGTTCATACACATTACAATTTTATTTCCTTGTATTTTATGCATAATATGGTAATATGGAGTTTAGATTACATGTATAAACAGTTTATAATAATTTTACGTGTAGGTAAATTAATGATCTGATCCAGTTTGAAAAGGTCAAAATTTAGTATGTCTAGATCTTAATCTGTCAGACTATATAACCTAAAATTGTCCTTAAATTGGGTGTTAGTTTTTTTACTTTTATATTATTTTGATATATAATGTGTCCAAAAATTAATACACTACACTGTAAAAGATTTTTTTGGATAGAGCAGGTGCTAATTTTTGTTAAAATATTTTTGTTGTTTTCTATTTTAGATAAATTCACTACGTCATAACTGTTTTCTCGGACCAGTGCTTGTTATATACATGTATGTCTGTCTTGTTTTACTGACGTCATTTTGTCGGGCTGTTCAATATAGTTTTTATAAGAATTCTTCGACTATTTTATAAATTGTTTATCATTTCGGGGCCTTTTATAGCTGACTGTGCGGTATGGGCTTTGCTCATTGTTGAAGGCCGTACGGTGACATATAGTTGTTAATTTCTGTGTCACTTGGTCTCTTGTGGAGAGTTGTCTCATTGGCAATCATACCACATCTTCTTTTTTATATCAATCCTTCAAATAAACTCATTGGTAACCATCCTTATCTTCTTATTTCTTTTATATCCAGTCTTGTTTTCGCACCGTTTGGATTCAAAACTATTTCTGTTTTTTTTTCCAACAGTCATGTCTGTTTAAACCGGATTTGTTTTCTCTCAATCGATTTATTACTTTTGAACAGCGGTAAACTACTGTTGCCTTTATTTAAATTTACTTATAATTATATGTGCTGAAGACCGTACTTTGACCTATAATGGTTTACTTTTACAAATTGTGACTTGGATGGAGAGTTGTCTCATCGGCGCTCATACCATATCTTCGTATATCTATTGATTGGTTTCAATAGGGCTTTGGTGTAAACTTTCTTGATATTTTAAAAATTAAACAAAGCTATGGCGATGATTTAATATTTCAATTGTAACATTGGAAACAAAAATAATAAAAATCAAACTCAGAGATATCAATTTTATGATTGACGATGGATTAAAAAGATTTTTAACGTTTTTCCTTAATGTCTGTAATATGATTTCCTTTCAGCAGAAAATAAAAGTGGTGCCAAGAAGGGGATGATTGGGATCAAAAATGAATCTGAGGTTTGATATACATTTGTGTATACTATTGGTTAAATTATATATGTACTACAACATTAAGTACGACTTAATGTAGCTTGGGTGTCTTACTCCATCTTGGATTTTGAAATAGCAGATGACAACCGGTCTAGATCTTTAATGAAATGTGTAAATTTCAGGAGAAGTATGTGCTTCATGTGTAAGACTTTTCATGTTAATTTAGAACATTTAGTGTTTTATCATATTTACGGGTCATAATTCATTTTGATACACAACACTAGAGGTACGCATAACAGGTCGTTCACGAAACCTAGAGGTACACATAATACTGTGTTCGCGTACCCTAGAGGTACACGTAAAAGTTTGTTCACCTTCCTAGAGGTGCGCTTAACAGTTTGTTCATGTACCCTAGAGGTACGCGTAACTGTTTGTTCGTGCAGCTACAAATGTAACCGCAACAGAAAACCTGTCACCCCTCTACCTGAATAATGGATTATCTGTGTCAACATCATTCCATTATCTCTACAACCTCAAACTACTTGCAACATAAGATAAATGTTTTGTGTCAGGAAAAGTTAAGTAGTCACAAGGAAAAAGTCCCCATGAAATGAGCTCTATAATTATAACGCCAAGAAATTAATATATCCTTTAAGGATGTGTTTTTGATAAGAGAGATAACTCTGTAAAAACTGCTTAATATTTGGCAACAACCGACAGCAAAACGAAGAATACTGTTTTCCATGTCCACAAAATTTAATGTATAACATGAATATAGGTTTAAATCAGTAATTTAACCGACTTTTAAAACTTTAAATCAAGTAATTAAAATGTTTTCTCATCAGCAGCACACATACAGTACACTGCATATGGAGTATATATTTCCCAGTTGGTACGATATTCCAGGGCTTGTGTTTCCTATCATGATTTCCTTGATAGAGGGTTTCTGCTCATAAAGAAGCTATTAAACCAAGAGTTCCAAGTGATGAATTTGAAATCATCCCTTCGTAAATTTTACGGATGACACCACGAGTTGGTTGACCGTTATGAAATATCCGTTTTACGTACGATACGGATATTTTCCTAATGTCGTAAGCACAATCCCGTCCCCTTTTCCCGAATGTGACCTACCAAATTAGACTTAATACCGGGTTTGTAATAAAATGAGCAACACGACCGGTGCCACATGTGGAGCATTATCTGCCAACCCTTCCAGAGCACATGAGAGATCACCCCAGTTTTTTTATGAGGTTCGTGTTGCTCAGTCTTTAGTGCTTTGTGTTGTGTTTGTGTACACGTGATTGTCTGTTGGCCCGTTTTGTTAAGCCATGGTGTTGTCAGTTTTAATTTCCCTTTGATATATTTCGCCTTTCTTTTACAGACACAACAAAAAGGCCTAGTTTGAAAATTCATTGTGTACTCACAGTAATTAATTATGCTCATGCTTATCTTTTCTAGGCATTTGGTAAATATCAAAGTACATTTTGCAAGAAGCTTGAAAGCGAAACTCACCATAAAAGCATGTATCAACAAGAAAGCAAAACAGAGCAGCATAGCTGTAAAACGTTGAACATTAAACTTGAAAATGAATTACAATCATTGAAATTGTCTTTGGAAAAAAAGTTCAAATGAAAATGAGTCCTTACATAAGGTTGTTACTGATTTACACATGAAAATAAAAACTTTAGAAGAACGTGAAAAACAATTGAAAAGTGAAATTTCTAAGTTGCAAAAACGGGAAGAACTAAGTTTAGATTATTACGAAAGCGAAAACAAAAACCTCGCTAACACCGTTCGCCATTTACAACCTTATAAACTTGAAAATGAACAAATGAAAACAACAATAGGAATGCTTCATAAGAACATTCATGAACTCAACATGATGTTAGACGAGGCAAAATTAAAGACAGTTAGCGACGAAAAAGGAATAACGGAATACATTTTAGAATCTGTAGGTATACAGGTTTTCATCTCTGAGGGATTCTAAATTTGAATCTATTTCATTTTATAAAAAAAAATAACATTTTTAAATATTTGTATTTGACTTTATACATTTATCAGCTGAATATTTGTTAGATATATCTTCATCATTAATGCTGTTTTGATGGAGTTCAGGATGTTCGCTAGTCTTGTTTTTGTCTTTTTTTTTTTCTTTTTTTTTTGTCAGATATTCGAAATCCTTTTGTTTTATCAATATGTAGCAACACATCAATAACTGTGCACTCTCATCCCTTCTTTACTTTTCATAATTGTATTACACAAAATGTAAAAAGCAATTTTGAAAATCTTATAAAATCCTCGTTATTTTTCGTACTTTTTGAAAGAAAGAAGGTGCCAATGTTAAATGTACGGAAAATCTAGAGAGAATCATTTCCAAATTGGCTTTTATCTCATAAACAAAGACTCGGACCTTTCAATTTGTTCAGATTTTTAAATTACATATTTTTTAAACTAACATTTTTTTAAAAAGCTTGGTATTTTGAAAATGAGCACGCTACATTATTAACCCTCAAATATTTTGACACATTTAACTTTTGTATAAAATTTCTATTAAATGCATCCATTATTCAAGTATTTGTTTTCTAATTATGTCAAACTTACAACTTAAGTTACCAAATGTAAGGAAGGTTTTTGACTCACCTCGACAAAGTAAAACCAGTGAGTCTTAGGAGTGCTGTTTCCGCGGTTTCGTCGGCGTCAACAAGATATTTATTTCAGTTTATTAGGAACCACGTAGTGTTAGTTCCATTATATTTGGTATGCAGTTGTATTAGCCATTGGCACATCCAAATTCCATGAAGGTAAGGGAACAACTTTTAAACTTCAAAAAGAGAGGGATATGGTGTTTTGTCTGAGTCAGATTTTTTTGATTTTTTTTTTGTTTTTGTTTTTCAACGCTATCAATCAAATTATTTCTTATTATTTCAAAATTTAACACTATAATGTATGTGGAAATAAAGACAACAGTAGTATACCGGTGTTCAAAAGTCACATATCGATTGAGAGAAAACAAATCCGGATTACAAACTAAAACCAAGGAAACACATCAACTATAAGAGGAAAACTATGGAACAACAGGACCACTGAAGTGCAACAAAAGCAAACGCAAACATATATAGAATCGAACTATTTGATAACAACTGACATATTCCTGACTTGGTACAGCACATTTTAAGAAAAAATGGTGAGCTGAACTTGGTTTTATGGCTAGTCAAACCTCCCGCTTATATGACAATGTTAAAAAATATCGCTAAAATGACAACACTACATGGACGTGACAGAAATATAGCACAAACACACGCAAGAATACTCATCACAGAAAAACGCACAAACAAATACTAGTAATATAATAGTCGACACAACATGCAAATCGCAGAACAACAACGAACATTTTCCATCAACGATAAACACCACAAACAGTGACGCACTTTCTTACGTAACGAACATGCAATCTGGAACATTATACAATATTTTCACAATACCAGTTTAAATAATTTTCATGACAATGATGGTATTGAAAGGCAATTTTATAATTATTTGGACTACAAACGATAAGATATAACACATTATCAAACCGAAACCATAACAGAAACATCACAAGTAAATACATGAATGTTGTATGTACAAAATAACGAGTCACGTCGTATAGCAAATCAAATTCACACTCGGTATAACAGTCATATTCGGGAATATGTCACGTTCGGTACTTCTAAGACGTGGTAAAAATGTCATTAGTTAGTTTAGGCACAGACACATCGTATAGATCAACCAATTCGTGATGGTGTCCATAAATTTAAGGAGTGTCATTTTTAATCTTTCCTCTTCATAACTCTGTTGGAGCAGTTTCTGCGTAAGGAGCACATTCCTGTTTATTAAGGTAGTATAGAAAATCTGGATTCAGAATATTTTTTTTTTGTCATCTGCTTGACCACAATATTCTTTTCATCAAAATTGTGATCAGAGTATTTTTTTAGGAATAAAACCATAACCCCCCCCCCCTTATTTTAATAGTTGTGCCCTTATTTAGCCCGATCCCTCAGTCATGCTCTATTTAATTTGCCAATTTTGCTTAATTAATTTTAATTGGCTTGTGATTATGTCAGTTTAAGATGAACTTCTTATGTTAAGTCAATGATAGTTGTTACGCAGTTGTATTACCATTTGCGATTCTAATTTCCATGGAGATTAAATGGCCCCGCAACCTCATCATGCTTCATTGACTTATACATTTTTGCATGTAGTTTACATGTGAAATTTGTACTTAGTAGGTTAGTTTAAAGGGGACCACTTATGACAAGTAAGAAATATATACTGACGGACTTATACATATTTTGTTGATTTTTTTTAACCAAATCATGATTGATCCTCAAAAACCTACTTTTCATGCTTACCATACTTCTTTTTGTTTCGAAAAATTCAATTTCTGACTTACCTGCGATATTGAACATACCGAATTATTGAAGTCGCAGGAATTTCTTTAAGCGGAATTGAAATCAATAAATGATTTTTAAATGTTTTTTTTTTCTTCGTGAAACAGTTCTTTCAATCCATACCCACACTTAAATCAGTCAAAAAATATTGCATCTCCATATTGCCGAGACTGAACAACGAAAATCTGAATCAGCCCATAAAAATATTGCAACCTGGAAAACGTGAACTTGCTGTAACTAGACAATCTGACGTCAGAAACTCGTCATACTGTTCTTCCAACAACGATACAGGTAGACGGTGTTTGTTGATGAACATCAATGACCAGATCAATATGTAGTGACAACGCCACGTCAATAGATTTTGATTACGCAAGGTGATTTGCAAGACATGTTTCAGACACACACTTCGTAATTCTATTAAGCTGTTTTTGTGTCCGAAATTATTTTAGTTATTCGTTATTATTCTGTGGTTAACATATCGAAATGTACTATTATATTATTTATTCGTGTATTTCTCTGTCTTTGGTGTTTTTGCATTTATTTGTACTGTGTTCCCGTCATGTAATGTTGTCATTTTAGCGGTATATTTAACATTGTCATAAAGCGCGGAGATTTGGCTAGCCACAAAACCAGGTTCGACCCGCCAATTTTTCTTAAAATGTGCAGTACCAAGTCAGGAATATGGCAGTTGTTATCTAATAGTTCGTTTCTATGAATGTTGCATTGTTGTTTGTTTTTTGTTGCACTTATGTGTTCTGTTATTTCGTTGTTTTCCTCTTATAGTTGATGTGTTTCCCTCGGTTTTAGTTTGTAACCCGGATTTGTTTTCTCTCAATCGATTTATGACTTTTGAACAGCGGTATACTATTGTTGCCTTTATTTACGGCCGCAACGTCAACTGCTAATCAAATCGCTAATTCCATGGCAGACAAATTCATGCCAGAAATATTTCCCATAAACTGAAATTCCAAAGAATCGACTGCAGAAAAAAACATTTAAAGCCCTAAAGTTTGAATCGCATTATTGCCACAAAACACTGTATTGGGTGGGACAATAGCAAAATCAGAAGGTACAATTAGTTATCAAAGGTACCAGGCTTATAATTTGATACGCCAGACGCGCGTTTCGTCTTCATAAGACTCATCATGCAGTGACGCTCATATCAAAATAATTAGAAACCAAACAAGTATAAAGTTGAAGAGCATTGAGGACCCAAAATTCCAAAAAAGTTATGCTAAAGACGTCTAAGGTAATATATGCCTGGGATAAGAAAATCCTTAGTATTTCGAATAATTCATACTTTTGCAAACAGTTAATTTATAGAAATTACCATATATTTGATATTCATGTCAACACCGAAGTGTATTTCGAATAATTCATACTTTTGCAAACAGTTAATTTACCCTTCCGGAGCACCTGAGATCACCCCCAGTTTTTGGTGGGGTTCGTGTTGCTTAGGCTTTAGTTTTCTATGTTGTGTCATCTGTACTATTATTTGTCTGTTTGTCTTTTTATTTTTGGCCATGACGTTGTCAGTTTGTTTTCGATCTATGAGTTTGACTGTCCCTCTGGTATCTTTCGTCCCTCTTTTATAAAAATGACCATATAATTGATATTGAATTTCATGTCAACACCGAAGTGTATTTTGAATAATTCATACTTTTGCAAACAGTTAATTTATGAAAATGACCATTTAATTGATATTCATGTCAACACCGAAGTGCAAACGGAACTCAAAACATGCCCTACAGAATTGATTAACCTTTCTGACAATCATTTTGGCTTTGGTTACATGCAGTCATTTCCTTCGACGGTGACACATCGATTGGAAAAACCAGAGTTTCAGAGCAAACCACATGATTTGAACATAAAAAATAATATAATCAATTCAACTTTCGAATAGTAAAATGTTTTTAGACAAAGAAGTAATGAGTTCATACATTTGTTTAACAAAAATTTATTATTTCAAAATTGGAATTAAAGAATAATCTAGTGTTGCGTTTCTAAAGTCGGTAAGTATAGTTCATTAGCATTTTCAATTCTTATTTCCAATGAGGTTATTTAGGCCTACACGCTAATGGTTCATTGACTTTGCTTGTTTGACATAGTTTTCATGTTTAAGTATTACGATTTCAATTTCAACATTTGCAATATTCTATCAAAATAACATAGAGACGAGACATATCAATGTCTCAACAGTTTAGTTTAAATTAAACAATATGCATTGTAGTATTTCAAGTGATCTGTATGATAGGAAAAATCATTGGAAGCAGGCATTTCGTTTCTTTGTTTGTTTATAAGTTCAAATTATTGACCATTAATTATTTGCAAAAAAAAAAGAGAGATAAATGATATCCCGTACTTTGATAAGACTTTTAAAGAGCGATACGAAATTAATTTACAACTTATCCGACGCGATTAAAATTCTCTACGAATATTATAGATTGTTGAAAATATATATACTTAAATTCAGTAATACCGTTTAGATTTTATAGATTAACATGGGAATATATTAGTTTGCTACTATAACACTTACGAATATAATCTACGTAATGCATTTCAAACTTATAGACCGGTCTTGATTGATTCCTTTGTGACTTAATTACTATGTGAATATTGTGAATTGTGTCCATATCATATATTGTTAATAATAGCTGACTTACCTTCCGATGCTCCTCCTTTATATGGTTCATGATCATGATTATCAATCTTTATCTTAAACCGTGTATGCTGTATTGTTCGTCAGTTCATGTCAATGTGTTGGTCTGTTTACTTCCGGTCTATGATTTTCAATGTGTCATTTCTTTTAATTGACAATTTGTTTAGTGATTATAGATAGGTATAATTTTATTTACTTTTTTTCTTGTGAAGAATGTTGAATAATTTTGTTTTTAAATATTTCAAAAACTAACTGTTGTATTTTTATTTTCTGGTATTTGATGTGCATATTTAATCTATTCTTTAACTTCTCTATATCCCAAACCTGTTTTGGTTCCTAGTTATATATGTAAGATAACATAGTATTTCTTTCTGGCATAAAAGGCGTTTTAGATGTAGACTTCTCATATCTGAGCGGTGAAAACCCCGAAGATATGAGACGACTAGATCTGTTTACGTAGAAGTAATAAATAAATATTTTGT